TAATCTAATCTACAACGTTTTTAAATTGGTAATTAACAAATAAATGGCATTAAGTTTTTCTAAGTTAAGCCAAAATTTGTAGTCAGTAAGTAAGTAAGTTTCCCTAAATTAAATATTTAAAACACACATGACAACAGCGTGTCGGTGTTTCATCACTCTTATCGAACCGGCAGTCGATCGCAAACGGTAACAGTAATTAGTTATCGTTTTGCATAGATCAATTACTTTATCGTTTTGTCGAGCAGAGCATCGGGCGTGTTGTAGTTTTGCTTTTGTACACGTACGTCGTCATGTTTATTAACAATGTTCTCGAATCAAGTGCTCGCCGACACTCAGACAGAAGGACATTTGTGCAAGTGTACCAAAGACCTCGAGATGCAGGAAGTGTTCAGCCCACTAATATTCACACTCGTGAAAGACAGGTTACTGTAGAGCAGGAGGAACAAATTTTAAGTATCGTGGAAATTAATGCAGATATCAGCACTCGGGAACTAGGCCGCCGGGTAGGACTATCGCATACCATAGTCCATAGAATCCTACGGGAAAATTTGATTTATCCCTACCATGTACAGTTCTATTCATAAAAAAAGCGTACACGAATTAGAATGAGAGGAAACCTTAACCTTATTTGCGTAAAACCGGCTTGTCTAAATGATTGTTTATTGGAGGTTATCACACGTCGTAGATTGTCAAAAATGCAAAGCATTGACGTCGGTGTAATTCATTTCGAAAATGCGTGGTGGTAACGTTTGATAAACTTTGACAGAAGAAAATAAAAATGCCTCGTCAGTTGTCTGAAGTTGAAAAGGCTCAAACTGTATCAAGAATTGAAGAAGGATGGTCAATCCGTGCTGTAGCGCAGTTGTATAATAGAAATAAAAAACCATATTGAAAATTAAGCAACGCTGGGAACAGGAAGATTCCCTAAAGAGGAAAATTGGTTCAGGTCGTCCCAAACTTACCAACCCTGAACAGGATGCTGCTTTTTTGGGATATTTAAGAAATAATCCATTTGCAACTGTAAGGGATGCTGTTATTGATACAGCATTTCCTGCCTCCCAACCTACCGCCAGCAGGAGAGTAATGAAATCTGAACTAAAATGTCACCCTGCTGCGAAAAAAATGTTTCTTAACGAAGAACGGCGACAATCAAGGATTATTTTTGCTTTAAATTATATATACCGCAATCCTCATTTTTACTGATGAAAAGACGTTCCAGTCGACTTATAACGGCCAAATTCGTGTTTACCGTCCAAACAATACCAGGTTTGAAGAGCGATATACTAACCCCCTCAATTCTAGACCTGGGCGTTTCTCTGTAAATGTATGGGGCTGGATAAGTGTTCATGGACCTGGTGTTTGCTGGCGAATAGAGGGAAGATTTAATGCCGGAAATTATATTAACATTTTAGAAAACATGTTGTTACCAAGTGCTGAGCAAATATATCCCAATAATACGTTCATATTTCAACAAGATAATTGTCCAGTTCATACGGCCAATGCTGTAACCCACTGGTTTCAAACCCATAATGTGGAAGTGCTGCCTTGGGTCGCTTATAGTCCCGATATCAATCCAATCGAAAATATTTGGGGTATAATCGTAAAAAAATATATAATCGAAATTTTAGGCCCCAAAATTCAGAAGATTTATGGGAAATAATACATGCGTGCTGGGAAGAGCTTGATCCAAATATTGTATCAAATATAATTCAGTCAATTCCGAATAGACTGGCTCAAGTAATAGAAAAACAGGGATATATGACCAAATATTAGATTTTATTTATTCTTGTTAATCGTTTTTTGTTTCTATTGTAATTTTTATAAAACTGTTCGATCAGGTAATTGGCCCCTTCGAGTTACCCACAAAGTTGTCAGGAGAAGGTTACCTTAGCTTTCTAGCCAACAACCTACCAGAACCTTTGGAACAGCCCGTAGACAACATTACAGCGGAGATAGAATTTGTGGTTTCTTCATGACGGGGCACCACTACACATTTTTAGAGGAGTAATTTAGTATTTGAATGAACATTATCCAAATCGCTTGATCGGTCGAAATATTCCTCAAAAACGGCCAGCAAGATCTCCTGACCTCAATCCGATGGATTTCTGGTATTGAGGAGAACTTAAAGCGGTGGGTTATGGGGGTGGTACAATAACCACTGAAGCATAACTTCGCGAAAAAGATTTTAATGCGGCTGAAATAATAAATGAACAACTTCGAGGACCTAGAGTAAGAAGAAACTGGGTTCGTTGTAATGTAATGAAGCTTGTGTGGAAAGTGGAGGACGACATTTTGAACAACTTCTTTAAATACAATAAAAGTGCAGCGTGGGTTTTAAAAAGAACAACAATGTATGTACCAAAATTGTGTTACCTATTTATAAGTGATTTTTTTAATACATTGTCAAATAATGAAATAATACCAAAGAGCCAAAAATGACAAACTCCATCTTTATTTACACTGCGTTCCGTCGTAATTTGTGTCTGGCATTGCGGCGTTGTCAGATTTTATTTTACTTTAAAGTCGCGTTTCTCTAAAAAATGCCGTTTTGACCCCCATGTTATATGAAACATTTTGCTTCTTTTAACCCCCCTTATCACCCATTTAGATAATGTCTATCATAACGTTTACACCCTGTATTATCAAGCCCTTATGTTCTATCGCTTTGTTACTCGCTAATATAATCTGCTGAATCTTTTTATAAGCTCGTACCTTGCTCCTTTCATCAATAGGTACCATCCGCACTATCCTGGGTCACTCGGACTATAGTATTGTGTAGGTCAAATTTTAATCAGAACAAGAGTCCCTGTTAAAAAATCTTTTCTGCCAGCTCTAACGTGCCCCCGCTCCCCTCTGCTAATGCCTGAGTGTCATCGCTTCCAAGGATTTCCATAACACTGCAAAAAGTACCCAGCAAAGCTCCTGGTTCTGTCCCGATTACTGCTATTGTACTGAAGACGTGCAGCGGAGCTCTTTAAAATTCTATCGAGTCTCGTTTAACGTTCAGCCTACCTCAAAAAAGGAGTATCTCGAGCATTTCGGATTGATTAGCGAGAGGCAGTTTGATTTCCGCTAGCACCATCAACGGTGCGCCTCCTAGCTTACGGTACACGATTGTGAGATAAACCTGCCCAAAAATCCGGTTTCGGTGTATAATAATAATAATAACGTACCTTTATTCGATTCTTTCACAAATACATATTTTGGGTAAGGTGACGTACTAAAAATTTTAAATTAAAGAATAGAAATGGCGGAGTGTTACGTTAAGGTATTTTTCAACTCAGCCATAAAATAAAATTACAAACATGAATAAAAAAAGTGTGGTAAAATAATGAATACCATACATGTGATTTGTGATAATTGCCTAATAATGTTTAAGTCTATATACGTATACATGTTTAAATTTTAAGTCATTTAATATAAAATCATGATGTTCATATGATATGACTCGAAAAATCATAGTCAGTTTTAGTCTTGTTGAACTTTTAAGATTGATCTCATTATCATCAGGTACAGGAGGTGGATAGATGCATTGCTTTTAATTTTTTCTTAAAATTTACTAGACTGAAATTGTGGTACTCAGTTGGTAGACCGTTGTAGTGTTTGGCCGGAATGTATGAAAAACTTTTCTTGTGTAACGATGTTGAGTGGTGGGGTATATTTAGCGATTGGCTGTTTCTTGCTGCTACGTTGTTAACATCTTCAAATTTTTGTAGCTTGTTGAGAAGGTACTCTGGTTTCTTATTCGTTAACGATTATGGACTAAAGATAGTGAATGATAGATTCTAAGACTTTCTAAATCTAATCTTCCGTTTTCCTTATAAACATGACTGATATGGTCGTATTTTCTCATGCCAAGGCAATAACGGAAACAAGAGTTTTGGAGTCGCTGCAGCTTGGTTTTATCACTTTGCAATAAAGCGGGTCTGAATACTGCGTCACAATAAGACATCCTTGAAATGATTAGTGAATCACAGAGCTGTAATTGTAATTTACTATTTAGTAAATGTCTTTTAGGATATAATTGTCTGAGCATACCATAAGATTTTGAACATATCTTCTGTATATGATGGTCAAATTTTAGTGCATTATCCAACCAAAAACCCAGATTTTTGCTTACAGATACAACTGGTAAAGGAATGTTGTTGATGTTGAGCCGATATAGATTTTCATTTTCCATTATGATTCGTTTCTGCTTTGGTCCAAAAAACATAACTTTTGATTTAGAAGCATTTCGTGTTAAATTATGAGCAGCCGAAATGTGATACATGGCATGAGATCATTGTTGATCAACTAAAAAGGAAAAAGATGCATCATTAAGATGAAAACCATAATATAATAAATTGTGTGTCGTCTGCGTGGTGATGAACATTGCAGTATTTTATATTGTTAGAAAAGTCTGAAATATAAAGAGAAAATAATAAAGGACCCTTGAGGTACTTCCATTGTTATCGGGGATTTATTGGAATCGTTCAAATAAATTGATACATATTTCTATTAGAAAACTTTTTATAAGTTGCACAGCGGGACAGCTGAAGCCAAAGTATTTTAATTTAGTGTAAAGTGTATCATGGTCAATGGTATCGAAAGCCTTGCTGTAATCAAGTAACACTGACTTTTAGGAATACAAGCGCCTCACAAACGTCGATGCAACTTTTGAGCTGCCAAATGTCATGAAACAAAGCTTTTTATGGCAAATTGTTCCACATTCTCGATGCCTAAGAAGCGTTCGTACCAGCCAGCTTTTACAGAGCTCGATGAAGGCGTAAAGGGTACCTCTAGCAGAATCAGAAAAAAATGTTGAGTCAATCAACTCGACTTCTGTGCTGTAAACGAGATGAATCTTATAGAAGGCTGAAGAGAGTCTTGATCTAAAAAAAGTCCTATCCAATTATGCCAGTATATCTTTTTTCCCTGGCAAAACCACTAACGAATTTCGGTTAACTGCCGGCAATTTCGGCGCACGTCCTTAATGTAAACCCGTAATTAGAAGAACCAACCTGGAGTCTGACTTTTTTCCAGGTAAAGCAATATGGTTGGGGTCATCAACATTTTTATCTAGTAAGATTTTTAACAAACCTATTTATTAGACCTAACAAGTCTATCACCTCACGGGTTTGATATTTTCATTACGGAGCATGCGAAGATACAAAACACAAGATGAGGCAAGTTACAATTTTAATGGTCTCTTATTAGCTCCTTCAAATTATCTAGTAGACGTGTCCCTAGGTTATAGATCAAACTGGTCAGCAGCTTCAAAGGACTTCATTGTCATTGCTGTTTACTGTACGACATTTCGGCCACCACAGTGGTAGCACCTTCAAGTAGATTCAATGACAATAATTAAGGATAAGTGCCAGGAACTGCGTTAAGCAGCTAAAACCCTCGAACCCTTACTTGTCCTTAAATTGGTTTGCAGGACGAACAGTTTAGTGATTGGTAACACATTTTACTTCTCACGCCTACTGGTGAGGAAGTGTAATCGCGAAACATTTTGAAAATGGGATGCTTAGTTTTTTGGATGTTACATGACAAGTACAATAGCAACAACCATGTCGCTTATATCCGTCAGTCTGTCGGTCCGTCTGTCTGTCTGCTAACCCTTGATCCGTCTGTAGCTTGGAAAGCAATGCTCGGCAGGCAGTCAGGCTGGTGGAATATGTAACCGGAGGGTTCACCATCAGCATGAGTACTGGCATCTTGCTTTTGGATGTCTCAAAAGCCTTTGACAAGGGGTGGCACGCGGGCCTCCTTTATAAACTAATCCAAAAGGCTTCTAGAATTACTGAAACCCTTTCGTGAAGAAAGGAAGTTTCGGATCAAAATTAACAATGTTTTGTCCACAACACGGCCAGTACGGGCCGGTGTGCCTCAGGGTTCGGTCCTAGGACCAATCCTTTATTCGCTTTTCATCCATGATGTTCCTTGCCCCAGCAACTGTGAAGTCTACCTCTATGCTGACGACACTGCACTTGTCACCGAGTCGTGTACTTGTGATCTGGTTCACGACGGGTTGCAGAGTGCGGTGGAAGAAGTACTAGACTGGGCGGAACGGTTTCTGATTAAAATTATTCATGCGAAAACGTCGCGGCCCCCCAGCAGAGGTCTCTGTAGATGGCAGTCGTGTACCATGGACAAATTCTGCCAAGTACCTCGGTGTCACCCTTGATAAAGGTATAACCTGGCAGAAACATACAGCAGCCTGGAAAACAAAATTCCAAATTGCGTTTCGGCAACTATATCCTTTGTTATGTAGATCCTCCAAATTGAGTTTGACAAAGTTCGCCTATATAAAATGATTATTAGACCAGCCATTACATATGCATGTGCTGCTTGGTGTTGTCTTGCCAAGACACATGCAAAGTCTTCAAGTACTGCAAAGTAGAATTTTGCGAACAATTTGTAACGCAACATGGTATGTCTCAAACGAGTCACTACACAGAGACCTTGACATTCCTTACTTGAGGGATTATGTCAAACTTCAGGCGCTGCGACGTTATAGTCAAGCGAAATCGCACAGCAACCCTCTTTTGCGCGACTACACTGTGGAGCAAGTTCGTAAACATTCATGGCCACGGCTCGCACTGTAATAAAAAATTAGCGCGAACTTTTAGTAAACTTAAAATTACACCCTGACAAGACCGAATCAAAATTTGTTTAGTTCACCTCAAAATTAATCCGTGTACCAAGTCAAAAAGCCTAGGTGTCTCCTCTTAAACTAAACACTTCTGTTTTCTTTGCTCTTCTCCATTTTTCTTCTCTTTCCCTTTCTCCTTTTCCTTGACATTGTCAGGTTTCTGGGCAACCAGGACTGACAGATTCAACTAACGTACATTAGACAGTGACTAATGTGCAAAGGTTCTATGGACCGTCCAGACAAACAAATGACGAATAGCACTGCTCGGACTTAAATAAAACTTTCACACAAGGTTACTACTATGCCACAAACTAAAAACCTTTCTAGTTGTGGAAATTTTGTCCAGTGGCGGGGAAGAAAAATGCGAGAAACAAAGTAAAACTAAAACAGCTCAAACTTCGTTTTTGGACGTTTCAGAGGTTCCTGATTATTTTGAAATAACTATCATAGATTTTCCCGTAATTTGTCCTTAGAGACTTAGAATGGAAGAAACTTAATACTTTATTAATGATTTTTTGGTAATCCAATTCTATGAACTAACGTTGCACGACATGAGTTCTGCTCTAAAGGAAAAAGTCATTTAGTATGCAAATGCAATAAAGATCACTTTGAAATTAAGTGAAATATCCATAAAAGCGTAGTATGCAGGTCAGAATTTGACATGTAGAGAGGAAGCGTGATTTATCCTTTACACATATATTTCAGTTCAAAGCTCGACTGAACAAAAGCGAAATAGTAACTGAAAATAGAATAAAAATTCGCTGACAGATCCAAATCCTCTTAAAACTGAAATATCACCGTCCAGGGCTGATTCCGATCGGATCCTTTGAAACGGGGTCATGCTCGTTGGGGCCCGTCGAGCGCTGGGCGACGTAATTTACTGGCAGTTTGCCTAGACGTATACTAAATCAGTAATTAAGAAAGTAAGAAAGAGGGTTACTCTGCCAAATAAGACGGATTCGTTTTATGTTGGAAGCGTGTAGTGCAGCAGCTACTATTGAACGGGTAGAGCCTGATGAAGGGGTGACAGGTATAAATTATAAAGGGTGTTGTTTTTTTCGAGGTACAGAACTTTAAGTTGGAATTACTTTTGAAGATGGCGACCGATTTGACAGCTGTCAAGTGATTTATTCTCAGTTTGGTTTGGCAATTCATCATGAATAGATTCACGCCTGAACAACGCTTGCAATTGTTGCAAAATAATGGTGCTGTGCGGAATACGTATCGCACACTACGTCCATTTTATCGTCGACAAAATCGTCCATCAGAGCAGTTAATTCGATTAACCATGGAACGTTTTTGCACCACGTTTACTCTAATTGATAACTCGCATCCCCAGAGACGCCGTACGGTGCGTACAGAAGAAGCTATTGCTACTGTAGAGCGTAGCATTGAGGAAGGCTTGAATGAGTCATCCGCCATCGAGCACGGAAATTGGATCTGTGTCCATCCACTTTATGGAAGATTTTGCGGAAGGATCTTGGTTTGCGTGCTTACAAAATCCAACTCGTGCAAGAATTGAAGCCAAACGATTATCTAGCAAGGCGTAGATTCGTTGAGTGGGCCCAAAACGAGATTGCCGTTCTTCCCGATTTTCATAAGCGAATTTTGTTTAGCGATGAAGCGCACTTCTGGTTGAATGGCTACGTCAACAAACAAAATGGCCGCACTTGGAGAGAAGCTAATCCTCAAGTCTATGTCGAAACACCGTTACATCCAGAAAAACTGACTGGTGTGCTTCATGGGCTGGTGGAATCATTGTTCCGTACTTCTTCAAAAACGATGATGGCCAGAACGTTATAGTCAATGGTAATCGGTATAGAGTCATAATTACTAACTTTTTAATTCCTGAATTGAACAGTCATGATGTCCAGGAGCTGTGGTTCCAACAAGACGGCGCAACATGTCACACAGATCGTCCTATAATAGATTTATTGTAAGACATGTTTGGTGACCGCCTAATTTCATGTTTTGGACCTGTAGATTGGCCTCCAAGATCTTGTGATTTAACACCGCTAGACTATTTTCTGTGGGGCTATGTAAAGTCATTGGTCTATGCGGATAAGCCACAAACGCTTGACCATTTGGAAGACAACGTTCACCTTGTTATTGCCGATATACGGCCACAAGTGTTGGAAGAAGTCATGGAAATTTTTATGTCCAGATTAGACTATATCCGAGCCAGCCGTGGCAGTCGAATGCCAGAAATCAGATTTGAAATGTAATGCCACAAGATTATCTTTCGAATAAAAAAATTCATGTCAATCGAATAATCCATTGTTGCAATTAAAAGTTCTATACCTCTAAAAAAACACCCGTTACTACATACCGACACAAAAACCTTAAGCCATCTCTCATTTGCTCTACCACGGCGTTGCTTGCCTCGTCTTATCACTATAAGTAGCATTAGCGTTGACATCGATGGCATAGAAGCCAGTTTGGTGCACATCATAACTATGTGATGCTTTAATACTTACCTACGCCCTCCCACATGATTGGCAAAATAGTCACCAGTAAACCCTTAAACGAACATCGATTCCAACTTTCCATTTTCCACTTCACTTTAATATTTGATTGGATGCATCCTCCTCAAGGTTGCACACAGTTGTAATACCTATGTCGGGGTACCTTTCAGAAAATCGTGGAGCCTGCCTTTATTTTGGGCTGTCAGTCAACCTAGAGTTCAAGGACCAATGCTTTCTTTAGAAGAGATGATAGATTGATCTCGGGTTGTAACGGGCGATTGATTTAGAAGTGCTCTTTTCAAAAACATGAAAATTAAAGTGAGTCAACTGAACAAAACAATCATCTGTGTTCTGTCTTACTCAAGATTATATTTCCAGATATTGTATAAGACGTCGTCAATTTAGGAATTCCAAAATCTGATCTATGTAGACAAGCCCCATAACAAATAGTCGTAGTAGTGGTGCTATAGTTTCACTTACCGTCACACCGTCACTCAAAATAATCAGCTTGAATTTCAGGCGGCAAACAGTGTGTTATCATAGAGCTATAGCAGTTGCCAAAGATCACTCAAAACGCATGCATGCGTTATCCAAAGTTGGAATTCCATAATGGGCCACTTTCACCACAGTAACAGCCTACACATTAACGAAATAATCTTCAAAAGCTGGATTCCAAGAGAGCCTCAAAACTTCGATAATAAAGATCACGCTAGGTGCATCATATTTTTCTCCTTTTCAAAAAACTAGATGTAGCAACTAAATCAGTCACCCATTACAAGCTTGAATGATGTAACTTACAAAGATCACCCTGTGACCCTTTCTCTGATTTTACATCGGCAGACATTAGGATTCCTGAAAATGAGGTTCTAACTATTTAGCAGTCATTTCGGTGCCAGAGAGATAATAACTGAATTTAAATATTCATAATACGATGATGTCGAAAATATATT